CCACCCCCCACCCCCCACACACACCTCCACCCCCCACACACCACCCACCCCCACCCCAACACACACCACCCCCACCCCCCACACACCACCCCCCACCCACCCCCACCCACCCACCCCCACCCCCCAAAAAAACATGTCTACCGTCCCATTCAACGAAATATAATTATATACTTTTTCCAGTGTCCGCCCCCTTCCCGAAAATTCTACCCCCGCCTCCGAAAACCTCAAGTACCCCCACCCCTCTCCGGGGAGGAAAAAGTCTGAAAGAAACACTGGTGTCGCGCTTAGCCACTACGCGAAGAATTGCATTAAAGAAATTGCGAGAAAACCACTTTTTAGATTAGACACATTAATTAGGTGGTAATTTTATTATAGAGTATCGATGAGGAAACCACCCCACCCCACCCCCCCCCAACACACACACCTCCACACACCACCCACCCCCACCCCCACCACCCCCCCCCCCACCCCCCCCCCACCCCCCGCCACCCCCACCTCCCACACCCCACCCCCCCACTCCCAAAAAAATCATGTCTACCGTCCCATTCAACGAAATATAATTATATACTTTTTCCAGTGTCCGCCCCCCTTCCCGAAAATTCTACCCCCGTCCCCGAAAATTTCAATTACCCCCACCCCTCTCCGGGGAGGAAAAAGTCTGAAAGAAACACTGGTGTCGCGCTTAGACACTACCCGAAGAATTGCATTAAAGAAATTGCAAGAAAACCACTTTTTAGATTAGAAACATTAATTAGGCGGTAATTTTATTATAGAGTATCGATGAAGAAATTTCTTTTGAGTTGGGGAGGGGGGGGGGGGCTCAGACGTTCCTACGCGTGGGGTGGGGCTTCGCCCCTACCCGAAGAATTGGATGCAAGAAACTCTTCACGCAAACCATTTAGATTAGACAACATTTCCTTTTTATTCAATGTTTACGCGATAATCAATGACGTCATTATATTACTGTGTGCACTTTCCGCCGTGAGATTATTTTCTACTCTATGCTAAATGTGTCGACGTCATACTTCGTCTTTCGTTTCACTGTGAGAGTTTTTAAATTGCTTGTGTTTTCTCTAGAGCGTTCTTGTCAGATAGAATTTTTGCTTATGTTTTCTCTAGAGCGTTCTTGTCAGAGCGTTCTTGTCAGATACATACATACATACATACACAGACAGCGAAACTATTATTATAGATGAGAATAAGTGGAGTAGAACGTATACAGACAGCTGACAGCCGCTTGGGCACAAGGCTGTAGTCAGCCCCGTGGCAATGGTTCGATGCTTTCTACTACCGAAGTGCACATTTAATTAATTTTTTTTCGAATATTTTCAATAGTAAAGGTTATTTTATTCAGAAGGCCTTTTTGTATGTGTCAATGTGCATTAATTTTTACTTCAGTGAGATAGTTTTTTAGTTATGAGCTTATAAATTGGGTAGGGATAGTGCTATAGTTTTAAAATTTAATACATGTGTATGTTTTTATATGAATAAATATTATTGCATACTCAAACCTATTTATTTTAAATTTATTTACCTAATCCTAATAAAATACCATAATATTGAAGAAAAATTGATATTGGCTCTTTAAAAACTGAAAGATTTTGTAAATGGTAAATTTTGGCTCTTTTGGCCTCAAAAGGTTGCCGACCCCTGGGCTAGAAGGTGTTCGATATACCGGGTCTATGCACAAAGCAGATTCGATACCCCAGGTTTCAGCTAGAACAGATTCGATACCCGTGACCTCTGCTACTGCAGATTCGACACACCAGGTCCTTGCTTGTGGAAATGAGACACCCCAGACCTCCGCTAGTGCAGATCAATTGCACATCTGCTCCATTTAATATCACGTTATTTTACTTCTATGTAAATAGTCTACTCTCTAAGTAGGCCCTACATTATTTGTATGTCCCAATACACCAGACCTGACGTCTGACATTAGAAAATAACACATGTATATAAATAAGGGGAAAATCAATGTATGTTTCTCACTCCCCTAACTCTAATTAGCTTGTTACGTGTTCGGTATTTCTTGGTTGTTCCCCCTAAAAGTTATGACAGGCCATATATTATGATATATATATATATATATATATATATATATATATATATATATATATATATATATATATATATATATATATATATATATATATATATATATATATTTATTTATTTTTATCAGTAGCGTAGCGAGGGGGGGGGGGTGCAAATCGAAAGTTTGAAGGGGGGGGGGGGGGGTGCAGATCGAAAATTGAAAGTTTATCCCCGGACGCCGGGAAGGGTCGCTACGCCTCTTGGAGGTGACACCATTAAGTGGCCGCACCGGGTGACACCCGCCCTCGCTACGCCACTGATATATATATATATATATATATATATATATATATATATATATATACATACATATATATATATATATATATATATATATATATATATATATATATATATATATATATATATATCCTCAACAGGATTTGAGAGGATATAATTATAAACACCTGGCGTATTTCCTCTATTGTTGGCCGAAATAATTTTGGTAACATATCTTTAGTGGGGAGACAATCGTGAAAATATTATTTGCTTCATGAAATGTTAACCCTTTTTTTGTTGTGTCCCTTTAATTATGTTACAGAATTTATTTTATGAAGATTGCAAAGTTTCGCGTGTTGAGACACTGTAACTACGAACACAATTTAATACGTTACTTGAACATGTACTCTCGTCTTTCAGTGGCGTAGGGAGGGTTTTGTCATACAGGGGTGTCACAAAAATTTACTATATCGGACTACGTATCATATGAAAAGAAAACTGGTTTACTGACATTTAGAATTTGAAATTATAAACACCCAAGACGAATAGCTGAATACACGCCACGTGTAGTGACTTTAATATAGTCTATTACTTAGGTCCGAGGAGTAAGCTCTCATTTGATGGAGGACTGGGGTGCGCTAAACCCAGCTTTTCTTTCAGACTTTTTTCGAGGGGTAGGGGGAGGAGGAGGCAAACTTAAATTTCTTGGGGGGGGGGAGGAGGATGAACTAAAATATGCTGTCTACACCCCGCTGTCGCTTTTTCGTTGTCTTTAATATTTATTATCCAATAACAACCCTACTAACTACTTATAGTTGAATATTAATTATAGATCAACATCATACTGCATTGAATATTGTATCTTACAAAAATAAAAATTCACATTAGATTCATTTAGGTCAAATATTTCTATTTGACTTGATATCTTATATCTAATCTATATTAGATATCAATATTTCTAGTCTGCTGTAGATTAATATTAATCCAAATGCGCAGTCAACATTTTAAGTTTTCTCACAAATCAAACTTGTTTTTTTTTTTTACATCCAGGAGTGATAACTCTAATAATTTCCAATCGTAAACAAATCACCGTCATAACCTAAGATCATTTCTAGATCTATGATTCTAAAACTCTAAATAAAATAAGTTTCAAGTAGATTCTACACTGTGCAAATACTAAAAGAACAAGAACATAGATCTAGATCTAGGTAAAATCGATCTACCTTTTCTTTCACTTCTTGAAGGTGCTTTGCAGCTTTAGCAGCTTTAGTTTATAAATTTAATTATTTTAAATGTTTAAAATTAATTGGTAATCTATAGAGTATAGACTATCGTTTTGGGTACGTAAAATCGCCAGCGATTTGTAATGTGAAAAACAGGTGACTCCTTAAATTTTAATAATTATTTCACATTTTGAGGAGAATTTATGTATTAAAAAATTCAAAAATGTTTCCTTGATTCATTTATGTACCTGTTTTTAAACAATTGAATTAAAACTTTTCCGTAATAAATGAAGACTAGTGATGTTTCCAACAGATGCAACCATGCTCATTTACTATAGCAGCCATCTTGTCTAAGTTTTATTTTTATAAGCTTTCAGGGGGAAGCCACTCTATTTTACAAATGGCTGCTGTTTATATAGCAAATCTTGCTCTCAGACACTGCTGTTTAATGTTAATTTCTGGCCTATATCGATATATTTAGCCATTGATTTAGGTTTATTATTCATTTATCTATAATATTTGACACAAAAGTATGACAATATACTTCTATTAAAGCCTTGACAATGAGGTAACGTTTTCGTACATAAATAGCCGCGGTCGATTTTACGTACCCAAAACGATAGATTACCAATTAATTAGTATGTATTAAATACTATTAAATGTATAATTAGTAATTAGTTAGGCCTAATAATTTTTAATTAGTATTATTAATTAGGCAGGCCTATTTATTATTTATTTAATAATTAATTAGGCCTATTTATTTAGTATTTACTTTATTTTTGACGATACGATACGGCACGCCGATACTAGATCTAGATCTAGATTCTAGATCTAGAATCCAGTCAACACTAGTCAACAGTTTTTCACAAGTCAACTGTAGTTAACACTTTTTCTGATCTAGCCAATCTAGATCTAGATTAGATCTAATTATTCTAAATAGGAAAATAAAATATGATGATTTTTTTTCAAATTCAAAACTTGATTATTCTTATCTTATAATGATAATCTTATGACTTATTTAAAAATATACTGACTGATCTGATCTATGAATATTATGCTGCATGCACAAGTCAATATGTGAGCCATACCATAAATCAACAATTCAACAGGCACTACTACTGTCACCACTGTGTTAAAAAAACGAAAACATTTAATTAAAAAACAACATAATGAATATTATTATTATAATATATTAGTAAATAATAAGTAAATATTATTTACTTATTATTTACTGATTACTTCGTCTTTCAGAATTTTGCAAGCATTGTATTTTCCATTTCTAGGAATTGTTCTCTTTGTAAATCCGGTTCAAAACCAGAATTGCTCAACTTGGCATTGCAAATTATGCAGTTGGGACGCTGACTCCCACCAAGTTCCGTTATACATGCGAATCCATATTTTACATATTTTTCCGATCACTTTCAGTTTTTAGCTCGACATAGTTGGTATAAAGGGATCACATACAAGAAACAAATCACTTGACATACCATCATGACATTGACAGTCACAATGACACTACTGGCCTACATTATATAAAGAAAAGGATGCTAACAACAGCACATATATACACAATCAATGCACATTTGTATAGGTGATTTAAGGTTTAATTACTTCACCTTTTTTTAATTATTAGGTTGCCGACTTTCTTCTTGACAGAGACATGAGAGGAGATTCACATTAGGTTTAGGAAACTTAGATTTGTTATGTATCTACCCACTAGATATCTAGTACTACTTGGTAGCCTACTATTGTTAACAAAACCAAGTTGTAGGGTTAATTGATTACAAATGGTAGCTGCAGTGAGGTTAATTCAATTAGTAATAAAACAGATAGTGTTAGTTACCCCACAAGTTAAAGACAGTTACAAATACCATGGGCGTTTCCACCCAAGGTCTTCGTCGAAGTGTTAGTTACCTCACAAGTTAAAGACAGTTACAAATACTATGGACGTTTTGACCCAAGGTCTTCGTCAGCATAAAACAGTCTGGTTACAGATTAGACAGAAAAGACAAACAGTAACACAATTTTGGACTTAGCTCGACAGTGAAAACACGCCTTGTCTATATGCACAAATACTATTGACATTAACTGAATAGACATTTTTCACATGTGTTTTAATTTTTGTGTTAGGTTGTGTGATTGCTGTGCACATTTCTAAGTATCAATTGCTCATTTCTCTCTTTTGAGTGCCTTCCGTATATTTATATTAACCAATGTAAAAGATCATAATTAGAACTTTATTAACATCTTATTTATGCTGTTTGCTTAAAGAGGTCAATGGTCAAGTTATCAATATTTTGGTTCTGTTTCAGATTTAGATTTGATTGAAGAAAATGCTTAATGCTTCACATATAGTGTCAGTTAAATGGCTTAAAGACATCCTTTCAAGCTCATCCAAGTTTAGAATTTTAGATGGTTCATGGCACCTGCCCAATACAGGTAGAATAGCTGCAAATGAATACAAAGAAAAACATATCCCAGGAGCTTTATTCTTTGACATTGATGAATGTGCTGACAAATCAACCAACTTACCACATATGATACCATCCCCTCAAGAATTTGGTGACTATGTTGGATCTCTGGGAATTAACAATGATACTCAAGTCATAGTGTATGATAATAACCCCCAATTTCCCATATTTTCTGCACAACGAGTTTGGTGGACTTTTAGATTGTTTGGGCATAAAAAAGTATGCATCTTAGAGGGCGGTTTGCCTAAATGGTTGTCTGATGGAGGGCAGACAACTAATGAAACTGTTTCTGTGTCAAAAGAGAAGTTTGTTGTACACTTTAATAAACATCTGGTTAAATCTATTGAAGACATCAAAAGAAATATTGAGAAGCCTGAATTTACTTTAGTGGATGCAAGACCAGATGGGCGTTTTAAAGGAGAAGCTCCAGAACCTCGTCCAGGTAAAATCAATTTTAATTAAGTAGAGCAGTACCATATGGCCTAGCAGTAGAGTGCTAGCCTGCTGACCCGAAAGTCTTGAGTTAGAATCCTGGTTCAGTCAATAGAGCGTTCCTGAATCCACCCAGCTCTGATGGGTATAACTGACATCAGGAAAAGAAAAGGCCACCGGGCATAGTGCTGACCACATTATCCCATCATATGCAGATTGTTCACAAAAACAGGTGAACTTTACTTCACTTGCCCCATGGACAGTCAGGTTTGAAAAGGGGACTTGACTAGTGCAGCCCCATACCACTGCTGGCTATGAAAGCAATTTCCAAGAACAGTATGTTTTCAGAAATTAAAAACATCTCTTATCCCTAACACTGAACTGAGGTTAAATCACAGAAAAGGAAAATCATTACAGAGCCCATTATTCATTATTTTTTTGGCACATAAACCTAGCACTGATTACAGAAGATCTGCTTTAACCTCCACTCCTCATCCATGACATAATAACTTAGTGTAGTGTAATTATGTAGTGGTCAACATTTGTTTTATCTTTTTAAACCTGTTACAGCAGAAGCATAGTGTAGTGACCCCTTCTGGTATCAAAACTGAATATATAATCTTTTCCCTTACATACCAAAGACACATGGGGCAGATGAAGTAGAGTTTGGCAGTATTTTCATCAACTTACAAAAATTGTAGTAAAGCATAAAAGACAAACACACACACAGACATACTTTCATTTTTATGTATAATCTAAGATATTGCCAGCTTATAATGAAACAAGTTGCACACACACAACTTTTCCTTAATCTTAAAATTACAGTGTAATAGTAATAGCCTTAATTGAGCATTCTGTATTAAGTTAGAAAAACTAAACTTTTAAGCTACTGTAACAATTAACAGTTTTATATTGATTAAACTTATATCAAGCGTCAACACATTTTATATTTGTACAGTTGGTTTCTTTTCAAAGTCATAAAGGCTGTATAGCTTTTGATCATAGAAGTTTTTTCAACTTTAGCAGATATAGTCTACTGGTTTTAACTTTTTTTTTTTTTTGGAATAGCACCCCATTTATATGCATAAATCAAACAATATAACTCAGCAAGCTTATGTTCAATTTAATACGGTACTCGGGCAGATGAGGCTCGTTAGCTGGGGACAGCCACTCTTCTAGGATAGACAACTCCAAAATTAAACAACTGCTGCCTTGTAGTTTGTTCTTGGTTGGACAAAGGCTATGGAAGCAAATCCAAAAAGCAAAGCAGGCTGAAATCGGAGTCAATGGCCTCAATGGCGCATAACCAGTTGACACGTAATGCTTAATTGTGTTGAAGGCGTGGTCGAGTCGGCAAAAAGTTCATGGTTGATAAATTCGAACAAAGTCTCGAGTTCAAACCCACTGGCAGATAAATCTCGATCCCCTTCAACACTAATAATTAAGAACGAAGAAGAAGAAGAATACGGTAAAAATACTGTTGATGTATTATAATTGTTTCATATCTCTTGCTAGATACCAAACCTGGGTGCATAGTAAACTCCATCAATATTCCATTCATGAATACAATGAATTTAAATGAAAGAAAAATGAAAACACCTGAAGAACTAAAAAAACTGTTTCAAGATTCTGGAATTGACCTAAATAAACCTTTGGTTGCTTCCTGTGGATCAGGTATGAATTAATTTCTTTTTAGGTTTGGTGTATGTGGTATGCAGGCTTTTGAAACATCAAAGAGCACACACTGCTTTTATTTATCTAACATCTGTTTTTAAGACAATGTGGCTTACGTGCCCTGAATTGCCAGTGACATTTTTTCAATCTGTAATATGTGTGAAGCTCTGACTGCAGGCTTAAATTGAGATCACTGATATTTTTTTTCTTCTCTATTGCTATTCATGATGTATATTTGATGCCTGTTAGTAGTGGTGTTTGATGGTACCAAAGACTAACAATCACCTTAGTAGAACTTCATAATGCTGTCTATTCTACACCCAGCATTACCCACATTTCTTTGAAATTTACAGCATACACTCCCATAAGATCATCCATTCCCAGTTAACAATGCCTGATCAAAAACAAACATTTCTATCTGGCAGGAATCTCTGCATGTATTCTGGCACTATCTGCAGCCATGCTGGGTAAAGAAGATGTGGCTGTCTATGATGGCTCATGGACTGAGTGGTACCACCATGCACCTGCTCAACTCAAACTAAATGTTCCTAAGTAAACTACAAGTTTGTCATTTTAAAATGTCTAGGTCAAGTATTATTCAATGCCTACATGATTAAGATATATTTATTAATTTTTTTAAAAAAGTCATTAGGCTCTGACCTTGAACTTGCAATTTGTTTTCATGCTTTAAATTGTTATCTATATGAACAATTGACATGGTAATCTTTATCAGTTTAGTTACCTTTTCCTCACTATGTGCATGCTGGGATGGTATTGAATAATCTTTATAATACAACCTCATATTCAAAATAAATTAAGGTCATGTAAATCAACAATTAAACTAAACAAATGATTCATTTCTTGTTTATATATTTTTGCTTTGTTCTTGTAGGCTACAATGGTTGGTTGTTTTTTTTTTATCAGCTTAAGTGCTGTACATGTCTTTTTAATCAGCTTGAATTTTTTATCAAAGTTCAAGTGCTGTTACACTCTACAGGTCATAAAGTGTTTTACAAGTGTTAATGGGTTTTCATTGCCCAGATACCAATTATTCCTTCTCGCGTTAATTGCAACTCATGCAAACAGAATCTTAACTATACCTAATGACAATGAACTGAAAAAAGACCTGTGTAGATTTAGGAGAATTAATACTTAAAAATTACAACCAAGAATGAATAAGAAACAGTAGGCTTACTTCTCTTGTCTGCACAGCTGTTTCATACATAAAATAATCCCTTAAAGAAATTGCGTTTTTATTTTTGCCAAGCAAAATAAAGAAATTGACAGGCCGAAAGCTCTTAGGCTTTTTTTTCCTGCATAAGTCTGAATGTAGACAATTTTACCCCAAATATAAATGGTGATCTGTTTTTAAGAAAGCAGGCATGACACTAGAGATCAGGTTTTATCTAGGAACTGTCCATGCTCGCTCAGTCTTTCAATGTCAAGATTCATGTTTAATAGCCACAGCTTATTCACACAGTCAGAACATAGCTGGTGGAAAGGTAGAAAACAGGTGTTCTGCAAGAAGCATGTAAACGAGAAGAATATCAGCATTTATAGGTTCCATTTTAATAGCTTTATCTAAAGCTGTGGACCGGGAACCAAAAGTTATCTATTTTTACTTAAGGCAAAGGCCTAACCATTTAGGTGTAAACTGTGTAATCCTCGCATGCAGGCAACCCTGAAATAGGCGTCACAATGATTTTTACCTCAACTTGAAGTTTTATTTTCTAGGTGCGCATCATCATACAATAGTAATGTCATTGACAAAGTAGTTAATTAACACTCAAACCAAGTTAGCTAGTGAAATATTTTATTTTGCTCTGGTTTTAGGATCATTTTTATTAATTTTTGTTGTCAACTTTAAAACAACAGGATTCTGATAGAATGGATTAGTTTATTGATCTAACAAAAAATATCATTTACAATTTGAAACTGTAATAAGAATGATTCTCCATTGGAATAAACCAAGATAGACTTACAATTATTTGTTTTTGAGTGAATATTGTAGTCAGGATTCTTTAGGCCAACAAGTAATTCATTTAAAAACATATCCTTTTGGGTATGGGCAAAATTTTACTGGATAACTAAGTGTTCCCATTACATTGCCATAAGTAAGAGATATTAGGCTTCATCGTACTTCATGTGACTTGTGCAATTTTTCTCCCATAAAAACTTAAAATCGAACTGCTTTGCGTTTTTTATTCCCAACTTGCATTCACTGCTTTAACAAACCACTAAAGGCTATGTAGTCCTAGAAACAGTTAGGAATTAAACAGCTGACAAACTTCACACCAACAAAAGAAAAAAAGTATCAAAATTTTGCCTGTTTTAATTCTTTAGACACTCACAGCTATTTAAAAAAAAAATGTTAAACATTGGCATAGCTGACTTAACCTTCTTCCTCCCCCCCCCCCCTTCTTTCTCCAAATCCCCCCCCCCCTCTATCCTCCAAATAACAAACAAAACTAGTACTTAAAACTGACAAATAAATGTTTAATAAAATGAGTCCATGGTTTATTGTATTGTTCGGAATTGAAGGGGAATATTCAAAGACTATTTGAAATTTGAATCTTAACCCTACATAAAATTGTGGACCAACTGGACAATACTTAGGAAACAGGGACAGACAAGTTTACTGTTTTCCTGATAAGCTTTTAATATCAAGATTTTTAAAAATTAGCCAAAAGGCTTTAAAATGACTTTTTAACTGAGAGGGTTTGATGAACATTTAGAGCCGTCTCCGGTTCTAAGTTTACGTTTCAAGATGACATCCATGGGTATCTTACGCCTATCATAAGCTTGGCCAAGAAAATACATTGTGTCAATAAACATGGTAGTAAGATTAAAATGCCAGCCAAACTCACTAGTAGAATAGTCATGAGGAAACACATGGTGATAATTATGGAACCCTTCACCAGTGGCACAGAAAGCAACACCCATGTTTTCAGCAGGGTTGATGCGTTCATCATAAGGCCTCTGACCCCACATATGGGCAGCGCTGTTGACCAACCAAGTTGCATTCAATACTAACGTGTAGCGCAAAATAGCAGCAATATAGAAAGCATTGAAAGCACTTTCACCCCAACCATAAACTGGAACAACTGTTGGCAGGATGAAGCAACAAAACAAAACTAGCTTCTTGTAGTGCCTGAAAAATAATGATTTAAAAATACATTCCTTGAAAGTATTGTTTCAGTCTTAGCAAATTTAACACTGAATTATTTCTTTTGATTACTGATGGAGATCAAAATCTTTACAATAGATTTCCTTTGAAAAACAAATTATTGACCAGAATAATACTCTAAAATGTCTTAGGCCTAACATTTTCACCCCAATAAATTAATGATATGTTAAGAGATATTCAATGAAGTGAAACTTACGTATCTTGAAATGCAACAATTTTATCATTTTTGAGATCTGAAAGATCGATCATTTTCCCCTTTTCTTTCACATCTGGATGTTTCTTCACGAGCAGCCAACCCATGTGGGCGAAGAAAAATCCTCTTTTAGCATTATGAGGATCAGCATCAGTCTCTGAGAACTTGTGATGAGCACGATGATCACGAGCCCATTCATAAATGGAATTCTAAAACCAGTAAAAAAGAACAATTATCTCAGATATAAAACCTATTTCTGCAATAGATAAATAGTGTATGACCAAAACCATTTCAACAAATATTCAAATGCAAAAAATAAATAGAGCTTACTTTTAACTTGGAATTCTATTTTTTAAATTTATTTACTCTCTTGCTCATTTTAATCCCCAATGCTGGTGTATTTTGATAATTTAAACTTTTTTTGAATATCAAATAAACCAGGAAGTACAAAGTATGTCTAGCATAGAACAAATGTCTTATAATTACAATTGTTTTTAAAACTAACCTGAAAGGATATACAATTGCAGAATGCCAAAAATATCCGTAATGGTAGTGTTGCCTTGTATGACCTATGTGACCATAGACGGTGGGCTCCTGCTGTAATTCCCATAGCAGCTAGGTAATACATGACTGCAGCTGAAAGTTTTAAAATTTTGCTTTATAACTGGGCTCTAAAATATTCTTATTATTAATTAATTTCTATAAACAGAAAATGGGGCAACCTTTGATAAAATATTTTCAGTTAGATGTCCTATGATTATATTGTTGAAGAGAATGATAATATTTTTAACTCACACTACATAGAAAGAAATATAAATTTAAAAATTATTAAAAACAAAACAACCTAGTGAAACTCAAATTAACAACGAAGAAATGTGAGGAAAAATGTTTTTAAAAATATACTTACTCCATAGGAGTGTTTGGTACATCGCTTTTGGAATCAGTAATAAGGAATATAGTGCAGCTAAGTGAAGAAAAATAAAAAGCACCACATTGCGCCAAACAATGACCATAGGTGGACGTTTGGGACTAAGATTGGGCTCTGCAATAAGTGCTTCCACTTGATCAAGACCCAATCTATCACCTTCGTAGTCTGGATTTTCTGCAGCGTTCCTTGGGGCCATTGTTTAGGTTGTTAAAAAATTATGTCTCCTATACCTATATAATAAAATATGATTCAAAATTCAATAAAGAATATAATTTGAATAACAATAAAATACTTAAAACAGCAACAATAACAATAAAAATAGCAACAATAATCCCACTGAAACACTGTAGATTTTTACCCATGCATTACAAGTACAAGTTTTTACAACTCTAGTTCTAAAGACATAAATTATTTTAAAAATACAGAAAGAAATTTCATAGAATTAGAAAGAGGAAGAAAGACATGAATTTCCTAAAAGAATGAAAGTAATGAGAATTACTTAAGACTTAAACATAAGCTATGTCTGACGCATATATGATGCACAGCATTGCTTTCAACTAATTTCCTAAAATCTAGAAAGCATTGCAAAAATGCAAGATGTTCTCTTGCTCGTTATCTACTGTATAAAATTTTACAGAGATATTCATACTACTTTGATCTTTATTTCTATAGTGTTATACAAGTGTCTGATAATGTTACAATTGAATTTTCTTTAAAATGGGATGTTAGATTACTAATGATGACTGGTAGTATCCTAAACAAAATACAAATATGACTTTCTAACCCTATCTCCAATGTAAGTCCTACACCCCTTTTTTAGAGAAGATTCCAATATCAGACACCGCTATAAACATACTCCCTTAATTACAATGTCTTGGATTTTGGAAAATAAATAGTCTATAGAGTCAATTTACCCAATTAGTGATTAGTCTAGACTTAGACTTAGAATTTCATATGTATGTAGCCTACTCACTCTCTGGCTTTCTAGTAATGGTAGAATGGTATTAGAGTCTAGATCTATCTAATTCTAACTCAACTGGTAGATTACATTAAAATTTGTAGGCCCTATAGAATTTTAGATTATTCTTAGCCTACTAAAAATAGACATTCTAGAATCTAGATTAACTTGATCCAGTGAATTATATTAGTGTTACTGGCTCATTGTAATTTTTTTGTTGAGTGAAAATGTGGCCATCTTGTTTCATGCTGGATAGTCATTATATATAAGTCTGCTCATGTACATAATAAAATACGAAATTTCGCTTTCAATAACTAGAGTCTAGATCTAGAACTAATTCCAGAGAAAAACTCTTTACTTTACAGTGATTTCTATAACTAGACCTATCATTTCGATCAACACCCCAGCCTCCCTATTGCTTATTGTTTTGAGTTGTGATTCTGATTGCTTTTGCGCAGTGAGAGAGTGAGAGCAATCCAGTTTTCAAGTCCGAATTTTTGCTGCTGGGATGCTAATCAACCATTTGACATTGCATGCATTTATTTTAATAGTTCGGTAGGACAACGTTTCCTAAGCAATAAATCTACTTAAAGGCTGCTTAAAGTAATCAAGTAAAACAAATTGTGGAGGGATTTCAAAGTTCTAGCCAGCTTACGCTTAGCTTTCCCTCCGGTCACCGTTCCGGCAGCGACGCAAAGTTCTAATAAATCATCCTCAATAAGTATTTATTAAAATGAGTATGGTATTCATAAAAGCAACGAAACTTACCTTAACTTTCATAGACTGAAATGACCGTTATTTTATTGTTTAAGAACACTAACTATTAACTGAACTTATTAATACTGTTTGATCTTTCTTATCCTTGAACAGCTGATCTATGTGAACAAGGCCAGTAACCAGTCTTATAGTGGCGTGATTGTTTTCGATCGAATGACAGGCCAGGCTCAAGCTCGAAAGGAAACTAGTATTTTAAGCAATTACTGACAAGTGTTATTTCTTAAACAATATTTTATTGCAAAAGTTATAATTAATAATATAATAAAAAGTTTAACAATAATTGTAGCATAAAATATTCTAACTCTTATGCTATTCTTGAATGAAGCACTATTCTAAGCAGACTTATATAATAGTAATTATCCTTTCGATTTTGTGCTTGCCTTCCCCGCGTGCCTTAAAAAGTAAAATTAAAAGTGAAATACAAGTACATCAGTTATTTTAGATAAACTGATAAAAAATTAATGCATTAAATGATAATTAGATTTTTTATTCAGTTAATAGTTATTATTTATTAATTTCAGTAGTTGGCACTTTGTATAATAATTCAAGAGGGAGATTGGAATTAGTTGAGGGGGGGAGGGGGGGGGGGGGGTGAGAAGGGGGTTCTTATTATATTAAGTAGCCTACAGTCAACAAATTCAGCACATTAAAAAAATGCATAAAAACGTTTTAATAACAAGCTTTTATATAATTATGCACTAAAAATGTGAACGTAAATGGTTTTCTTTAATTATAATAATGAGCTACTATTTAAATAACTAAAAATAAATGTGTGGGTCTCTGTTTAAATTCTAGTAAAATATTTAATACATAATAATTAATATAGCGTCCCACGCTTTTATTTTTAGTTATTTAAATATTACTTCATTATTATATTTAAAGAAAATCATTTATTTTCTCCCTCTTACTGCATAATTTTATAAAAGCTTGTTGTTTTATACATTTTTAGTACTTTAAAATTTTTAATACGATAGAGTTGCATGACAAAAACAATTGCGCACCAAATGAACCTGAAAAAAAATGCGCGTATGAAATGTTAGAGCGTAAAATAGTATTTTATATAAAAAATTTAGTTAACTCATAAAACATTAATTTGACATCCAATTAAGTTAAATTTGATGTCAGATTAGTCTTGACCCACGTGCGAAATTTGAAACGAATTGGTCAGTTAAAAGTGATCGAAATTTCGGTGCGCGGACCTTTGACCACAGGAGCTTTGACCATAGGGGGTTTGACCACAGGTGTCTTCTCAGCAGATGGTCTTTGATCACAGGTGGTTTGTCCATGTAGGATCTTTGATCACAGGTGGTTCGTCCAATGCTGGCGTTTAATAACAAGCGCTTTGTCCATATATTGTAAGGATTAATTTTAAAAGTTGTGTAATTATATTTTAAATTGCGGCAGGATGTAATATGTTAATTCATCATGCATAAATACAAGTCATCTAAACCATACAAGTATTACTTCTTTGACTATACTGTGGCATGTTTTTTTTTATCCTTTGTTATCCTTTATATGTATGTATTTTCAAGTACATCTACACTATTTATTTGTGAAACTTGTTTTATGTCGCATTATTTGTGTTCCATTTATGTTTAAAATAAATTCTATTTTATGTGGAGACTAAAATATCGCTCTTGGCTTTTTTAGTACGTTAATTTCTATTAATGGACTCCCAGGAAACATGTATAAAATCGTATTTATTGTATCACAAATTTAAATGAAATAACAATTTATAATTTCTATTTTAAAATCTATATATTATGGTTAACCCCCATCCGTGGTCAAAGCCCCGCTGAGGACAAACCCCCTATGATCAAACCCCCTATGGTCAAAGCCCCTCTGTGGTCAAAGCCCCGCTGTGGACAAACCCCCTATTGTCAAACCCCTATGGTCAAAGACCCTGTGGTCAAAGCACCTAGGACCTTTTGGCTAAGATCAAAGTGTAGTATCTGTTCTTATCCGAAATTTCGTGGGGCAGTTTTTATCCACGACGACAGACAGACTGATAAACCTAATAAAAAACCTAATAAAAATAAATCACTTTAAAAACAAGAAGAATACCACGGAATAGCCGAGTTTTTAACTGAATCATTTAAGTCACTTAATCAGTGTGCGCCTGTGTTATGTTAAATGTGTCGGATTTGCGTTTTGACCAATAACTATTTTATAAATTATTTTTCTCAAACAAGTTCAACATTTTTAAAAAATATAGGCCTATAATTCACGTGAAACGGGTACCGATGGCTAGTCATTGTATAAAAAAAACAAGAATAACTAAATGTAACAGAATAACACTTAATTTAATATTAACTGAGAATTGTACAAATCATCATCAGTCTCTTCAGAGACATCAGGATGTGGAAGGCATTCTCAGCTTTTTGTATGGCAGGGCAGCCCGTTGTAGAACAAAGCTTGCTCCTGTGGAATGACACCTGAGGCGAGAAGAAACAATAAGTTAGTCTTTCTTTTTTTCTGAGATTGGCAGGCGGTCTTTGCATGCAGGCACCATCAGCGACATTACAATGATTAATTATGGTCGACCACGACCCATCAATGTATTCAGCACCATAAAACTGACATCTGATATTGCATACTTATACTGAATGATGTATGGAAGACTTTTTTCAAAACACATCAATTTGATTTTCATCCACTGCACCGGTTGGTATAATGTATTCTTGGTGCGATTTTTAACAAATCTAGATAATACTTTGAGAGCATGCACATCAGTATGATACCTTCTTTTAACAACAAATGGTGGATTTTTTTTTTTGTTGCTATCTAAACCAATTCTAAAGGTTTAGAGAAACCAAACAAAAAATAAGTATCACTTCCGGTTACAGGAAATCGCTTTAAAAGTTGTTAGAACCTATGGAAAGAATCTCTTAGGCCTAATGTGAAATGTCGTCCCCTTAACTGAAGCAGTATACAAGTAATGGTGTTTACGCACACACACATACAAACACACACAAGATTGCAAAACTGGATCTCCCGACGGCTCATGAGGGTGTAAAAAGTCAAGTTGTCAAAATCTCTATTTCGGGGTTTGTTTGTTTTTTTTTGTTTTTTTTTTTTTTTTTTTTTTTTTTTTTGCACAAGGGTACAATACTCCGTATACGAGAAATTAAAATGAATGAAATAAACTTTAAAAAAATAATTCTAGCAAAAGTTACGAAACAAAAAGGAGGGTCTAAATTGAATATAAAGCAAGTCAAATCGACCATTGACATAACATTTAAGTAAGGGATTTGGGTAGGGTAGCATTACGCTTAATGTTTGGTTTGGGTTAGGCTCAGGGCTTAAGGTTTGAAGAATTATTACCAGAATAGATCTAATAGTTTTAATTCTTGTGTGAACGTCGAAATAACACTACAGATCTTATATTTTGTAATTGTCTTGATCAGTGTTTCTTCCAGACTTTTTTCTCCGGGGGGGCACTTGAAATTTTCGGGGGGGCGGTAGACTTTCTTCGGGGGGGGGGGGGGGGTGGACACTGTTAAAAGTAAATATTTTCTATATAAATTATATACATTTCATTTCGTTCGGGAGGGCGGTAAAAAATTTTCGGGGGGGGGGGGGCTTTGCCCCCCCCCCCCGAAGAGATGCCTGGAAGAAACTCTGGTCTTGATGGTTTTCTGTTTTGACATTCTTAGTAAAGCATATGCAAAGTACAGAAAATAGATTTATATCACACTTTTGCCTGTGCCTTTTTCCATTTCTATAGAATGATGTATTCTCTTCGGGAGGGGGGGGGGGGGCGGAGTGTCCAGCATTATCCCGCCCGAACGAAACAGAATTTATATAGAAAATATATACTTTTACCAGTGCCCCCCCCCCCCAACCCCACACACACTACCGGAAAACATAGTCCGCTCCCTCCCACGAGAAAAAGTCTGAAACATTGCACACAATTTCTTTTCTAACTGAAAATTGATGTTCCCAGCTAGTAAAAAATTTTGAGCTACAGTTGTTTTTTATTTTATTTTAAAGCTTTTAAATACTTATGTATTAGGCCCCAATTTTGCAAATTTGTTTTCCCTTCTGATTACAGCGCTATATCTAAACTAGGCATGCTGCCCAGCTTCGCTTAGGCTTTCGAAAACATTGAGAATTTGAATGCTTAATTAATTCGCCCGAAGGTCGGTCTACGACCTCAAGAGTTATGAAGAGGTTCCTCGGTGGACATTTTTTTTCGATTTATAGCTCATATAAGGTACCGGTCAGTCGAGGTCAGTTTTGACCCCCACATCGTAGACTTTTCGGCCAACCGGCCCCCGTGTTCTGTCGCACCAAGGCAAGATCATGCCAAATTTGAAGCGCCTGCGGCGCCGGGAAGTGCCCTATCGGACACCCGACAATCTAGATCTAGATTAGATTCCTAAAAGAATTTTTTTTTTAAGTTTAGCCCGAGCATAATATAAAAGAATACATCAACCAAGTTGACTTGCTGTGTCTCGAACCCGCACCACCTGCGTGGTTTAATGTACACTAACATCTCCGCTATTTAGGCACCTTATAAAATACGGAGAATGAAAGACGTATTTTAAAATCTTAACTTACGCGAATATGCCTATTCTTTCAAATTAATTTTTTATCCCAAATTAGCCAGTTCATAACAAAGATTTTGTATAAAATAAATAAGTCTTGAAATAGTTTAGTCCTAATATAGAAATTTATTTTTGGAATTGATTTTAGAGAAGTTAGAGTCTAAATCTAGATCTTAGCGTCTACGTCTAGATCTAGTTATTGCGTAGATTTAGATTTAGTCTAGATCTAGAATCTCTAGATCTAGAATCCAAATACATAAAATAAATTTTATGAGTTTAGGCCGGAAAAATTGTATTGTATACATTTCATAGTGTACGTAGATCTAAATCAAATTTGAATGAAATAGTTCATTTCTTTTCATTCTAAACACGGCAGATGACGTCATTAGTTAATGTATAAGCAATAGTGACGTCACAGTTTTATGCGTTCTTTTTCACATATATTAATGCTTTTCCGGTTGCATAAATAATACTGTTTCTCTACATTCGAATACGCCTTTATTTTTTATTTTTCTTCTTTAAATAATTTTGTGGTTATACATTTAAAACATCTAACATATTTTTTTCAACAAAAGTCCGTAAAAAGTTCTCGATATATCGCTGCCGATTCTGACGTGATGTCCGGCGAAAATTTTTTGCGGACAGAGAAAGAGAGAGAGAGAGAGAGAGAGATGTGCGCACATTGGGCTTTTATAAATTAGGATACTAATCGTGGACAATCACAAAAGATAGCAGCATTCATAAAAATTTCATTTCTAAAATTTGTTTTTAATTTTTAACTTTCCGTTTGTAGTCAGCTTAGCGCGAAGAAAACCGCAAGTTGAATGGACGGTAGGATGCACTCTTTAATGAAATAATTGCATAGAAAGTGTCAAACAAACCACTGCTGGTGCCAATCAATTAAAACGAGATCTCTAATGTAAGTAAGCAATACTTCTTGTAATTAATTTGATTAAAGACATGGAGATTTAATAGATGAACGTAAGGACTAGTTTTTCGGTCTCTACTAGATGATTAAAATGACTAAGTATGTAGATCTAGTCAGTCTATCTATGAATGTAATCAGTCAGTCTATCTAGTGTATCTAGCCTTGAATTCGTTTCTGGAAAATACCAAATTTTACAGAATTGGAATGAGTCATTCAATACATGAGGTGACAAGGTTTCGTAGAGGCTAACGTTTTGGACCAACAGCTTTTAAGATAGTGCGTGGCTGTTGTTATCAGCGATAGTCCCGCAGCAACAGCGCATGATCAAGACATGTACGGGATTGGCTTAACTCTAGTTAAAAATCTTGTCAATACCGGTTCTATCTGCGATTGGCTGTTTTTTTTTCAAACGCAGTTTTATAACTTGTTACTACAAGCATCCAATTTAGTTAAGATAATTAGATGATAATGCATAGGCTGCATTTGTATCAAATTTTAACAGTCCACCTTACTTTGATGGTTATCTGACTTACGTTGGGGGAAAGTAAAGTAAAGGCTGCTGGGCATAGTGCTGACCACAACATCATCCCTTCCTATCTGAGTTTCTTCCAGGCATCTCTTCGGGGGGGGGGGGGTGCGTTTGTATATTATGAATGAGACACAGAGGCGTAGCGGGGGGGGGGCGGGGGGGGGGGACATTTGTCCCCGGGCGCCGACCTTAGGGGGGCGCCAAAATGGGTTGGAAAAACAAATTGAAGGTAGTTTGAGGGGAGGGGGTGTTAATCAAAAGTTCGAGGGGGGGGGTGCAAATAGAAATTTTGAGGGGGGGGGCTGCAAATCGAAAGTTTGGGTCGCTACGCCTCTGACGAGACATGTCATACTAAGCTAAAATGTTAATGTACTTGCAACGGATTTTTTTTTAAAATCATTATAGGCATGTTTGTTTGATCTTACACAGGTAACACCCACACGCTGAAGTTGTCATGAGATGGTCACGTGAGGAAACTATATTAAGAATGGAATATTCAAGATTTGAACTGCCAACATTTGTGTAGCCTATCTGCTAGAGCTTGCGGTCTGATACAAGCACTCTACCACCATCATTCCTTCCCCGCTAGGTGACTGGTGACAACAAGGAAAACAACCATCATAACGCACACCCGTCAACATCAACACTAGAACAATGTCGGGCTCTGACGAAAAATTCCCCCGTAGCTTATCCAGCGTCCAGTACAGCGATATCAAACAGATACAGTCGATCCTCCGAAAAACTTCAGATGCCAAACCAAGTGAAACGGAGGTCCAAGACTTCTTGACAAATCTAGGCGCCAATTTGTTCGCTGCTGGGAAAAGCACCAAAAGGGTGCAGTCCCCCTCTTCAGTTTCCTCCAGTCAAAGGAGTTCCAATCAGGAAGAACTAAACGAACAAAATAATGAATTTGTTCTTAAAACGAAACAAAAAGAAACAACGGTTCACGGGCGTCACCCTGCCATTACTTTCAACCTCCCCTCAAAGGTTAAGAACCTTTACTTACCACCCGTGCAAGCAGTTCAATCCAAAAAAAAATATCAACGCGTACCGACTGCACAAAATGCTGTACACTCAGGAGAAGCATGAACAGGTGCTTCAAAGCTTGAAAGATTTGAAGGAAAAGAAATTCGAACAAGCCATGTTGAAACAAGAACTGCGCGAGGTCTGTTCCCAAAGAAAACGTAAAGAGGCGGTGTTCAAACGTCAGGCGATCACAGAGCGTCTGGAGTGGCATTTTGGCGAGAAAAGAAAAATCCTGTCCGAAATTAAAATTCTCATCATCGGTGGGGGTATGGCGGGCTTGAGTGCCGCCAATCGGCTTTTGGCGCTTGGTTATAGGAATGTCAAAATATTGGAGGCTTCAAACAGGTAAAATTGTAGTCATACAAATAACTGTTCTCGTAAGTAATGAAAATATCGTGTCATTAATTACAAAATATATCTGCTGACGTAGATTTTTTTGTGTGAAAGGGGGGGGGGGGTGTTTGGTTTTGGCGTAATGTGAGTGGCAGCAGTAGCTAGGGGAGGGCGGTAGGTGCGGCCGAACCTAAGGGTGCGCCAAAAGGGGTAGAAAACACTAAATAGCTCATTTTAGGCTGAGGTATTGAATTATACACGGTCGAAGTAAATGCCTTAATGACTTTACACTCTGATTTAACTGTTTTCTACATCAGTTGGGTGACACGAAAATAAAAACCTTTACTGGATGAATAGTGACTGGTAAAACACATCACCAACATTTCAACTTGGGGCGCGCTTTATTTACTTATTTTAATAACTATTATATATATATATATATATATATATATATATATATATATATATATATATATATATATATATATATATATATATATATATATATATAATAGTTTCGCTGTCTCTCTATCTATCTATCTATCTATCTATCTGTCTGACAAGAACGCTCTAGAGAAAACACAAGGAAAATAAAAACATGCATAGTAATTCGAAAAACGAAGTATGACGTCGACACATTTAGCGCACAGAGTAGAAAATAATCTCAAGCCGGATAGTGCACACATTGATATGACGTCATTGATTATCGATATTCAATACAAAGGCAATTTGGTCTAATCTAAGTGGTTTGCGTGAAGAGGGGCGGGGGGGGGGGGGGGGTGGTGTGTGTGTGTGGGGGGGGGGGGGGGGGTGGGGGGGTTGGTTTCAGTGTTTCTTTCAGACTTTTTCCTCCCCGGAGAGGGGTGGGGGGTACTTGAAATTTTCGGGGGCGGGGGTAGAATTTTCTGGGAGGGGGCGGACACTGGAAAAAGTATATAATTATATTTCGTTAAATGGGACGGTAGACATGTTTTTTTTTGGGGGGGGGTGTGGAGGGGTGGGGGGGGGGTGGTGGTGTGTGTGTGGGGGGTGGGGGTGTGGGGGTGGGGGGTGGGGGTGGGTTGGTTTCAGTGTTTCTTTCAGAGTTTTTCCTCCCCGGAGAGGGGTGGGGGTAATTGAAATTTTCGGGGGCGGGGGTAGAATTTTCTGGGAGGGGGCGGACACTGGAAAAAGTATATAATTATATTTCGTTGAATGGGACGGTAGACATGTTTTTTGGGAGGTGGGGGTGGGTGGGGCTGGGGGTAGGGGTGGGTTGGGGGTGGGGGGGGAAGTGTTTGGTGGGGGGGGGGTGGGGGTGGGTGGGGGGTGGGTTGGTTTTAGTTTAGAGAAAAGAGACAGCACTATCAACCTAGCGCCCGGTGTATCCTTCCTCAACGGGCCATTTTTCTCGTATCTATAATAGTTTCGCTGTCTGTCTGTCTATCTGACAAGAACGCTCTGTCTGACAAGAACGCTCTAGAGAAAACATAAGGAAATTAAAAACATGCATAGTATTTCGCGAAAAACGAAGTATGACGTCGACACATTTAGCATGGAGTTGAAAATAATCTCAAGGCGGAAAGTGCACACAGTAATATAATGACGTCATTGATTATCGCGTAAACATTGAATAAAAAGGAAATGTTGTCTAATCTAAATGGTTTGCGTGAAGAGTTTCTTGCATACAATTCTTCGGGTAGGGGCGAAGCCCCACCCCACGCGTAAGAACGTCTGAGCCCCCCCCCCCCCCTCCCCAACTCAAAAGAAATTTCTTCATCGATACTCTATAATAAAATTACCGCCTAATTAATGTGTCTAATCTAAAAAGTGGTTTTCTTGCAATTTCTTTAATGCAATTCTTCGGGTAGTGGCTAAGCGCGACACCAGTGTTTCTTTCAGACTTTTTCCTCCCCGGAGAGGGGTGGGGGTACTTGGAATTTTCGGGGGCGGGTGTAGAATTTTTGGGGAGGGGCGGACACTGGAAAAAGTATATAATTATATTTCGTTGAATGGGACGGTAGACATGTTTTTTTTAGAGGGGGTGGGTGGGGGTGGAGGGGGTGGTGTGTGTGTGGGGGGGGGGGGGGGTGAGTGGGGGGCGGTTTTAATTTAGACTTTTTCCTCCCCGGAGAGGGGTGGGGGTACTTGAAATTTTCGGGGGCGGGTGTAGAATTTTCGGGGAGGGGGCGGACACTGGAAAAAGTATATAATTATATTTCGTTGAATGGGACGGTAGACATGTTTTTTTAGGGGTGGGGGGGGGGGGGTGGTGTGTGTGGGGGGGGGGGTGGGGTGAGTGGGGGGGTTTAATTTAGACTTTTTCCTCCCCGGAGAGGGGTGGGGGTACTTGAAATTTTCGGGGGGCGGGTGTAGAATTTTCGGGGAGGGGGCGGACACTGGAAAAAGTATATAATTATATTTCGTTGAATGGGACGGTAGACATGTTTTTTTAGGGGTGGGGGGGGGGGGGGGGGTGGTGTGTGTGGGGGGGTGGGGTGAGTGGGGGGGTTTAATTTAGACTTTTTCCTCCCCGGAGAGGGGTGGGGGTACTTGAAATTTTCGGGGGCGGGTGTAGAATTTTCTGGGAGGGGGCGGACACTGGAAAAAGTATATAATTATATTTCGTTGAATGGGACGGTAGACATGTTTTTTGGGGGGTGGGGGTGGGGGTGGGGGGTGGGGGTGGGGGGGGTGGTGTGTTTTGGGGGGTGGGGGGGTGGAGGTGGTGTGGGGGGGGTGGGTTGGTTTTAGTTTAGAGAAAAGAGACAGCACTATCAACCTAGCGCCCGGTGTATCCTTCCTCAACGGGCCATTTTTCTCGTATATATATATGTATGTATGTATATATATATATATATATATATATATATATATATATATATATATATATATATATATATATATATATATATATATATATATATATATATATATTTAATGAGCGGGAGCGGAAGACGGAGAATTGATAGTTCGCCCCGGGTGCCGAAATGGGTCTCTAAAACTGTAGTGATATGCTTGTGGTATAGTCCTGCACCTTTGTATAGTTGCTATTAGTATTGTTATTTATTTTGTGTTGCTATCGTTCACAAGCCTCATGTAGGCTGCGTCTAGTTTAGTTTTTCAATTATTTTTCTCTGTGTGTACTTAGCGCTATAGGGTCAAAGTTCAATTCGTTTAAATATGCCTGCTACTCTACTACTACACATTCATGAGTCAAATCTTCTGGTGTGATTGTTTTGTAAACTTGTAAGCCGATTAAATATAGGCGTGATGTTTATGTAGTTAGGGGTTAGAATAAGAATACGTACGAGTAATACTTAGAAAGAGTTTCTTGATATCAAGTAGTTATGTTGTTAAATAACTTTTAGCTGAGGTGTTGTAATAAAGAAATCTGTAACGTCATATTTTTATCATTGACCCCTTAATCTCGAAAGACTAATGGATGATTGAAACTTTGGTTGTGCCTGGAAAATCCGTGTACATAATCTGGGCAGCAAGCAGAGAAATGAAAAAGAACGTACAGTGTTTCTTCCAGACCTTTTTCTCTGTGGGGGGGGGGGGGGGGGGGGGGCACTTGAAATTTTCGGGGTCGGACTAAAAATTTTCCGGGGGGGAGGGGTGGACACTATTAAAAGTATATATTTTCTATATAAATTGCATTTCGTTCGGGGGGGGGGGGGTAGACTTTCTTCGCCCTCCCCCCCAAAAAAAAGAGATGCCTGGAAGAAACTCTTAACGTAGAACGTAGAACGTCATGCTAAATGCGGTGTTAAACTTATGACGTGGGTCGGGGCGTGGGTAATAAATCTAAAAAAAAAAACGCGTTAATAAATAAAAATTGTATCATCCTCCCACCCACCTCCCGTAATAAAAACAAACCTATGGTTGCTCTTGATAATAGCAGACACACAAGTAATAGTTAAAAAACTAACTGACCTCGATCCCCGCTCCCACTTTATTAACGTCTGTCTATTTAAAGAAATATCTAATTATGCATTGAATTGTTTCATTGCCAAGTTTTTGTCAATTAAACTAACCACACGCGATGACACAGATTCCGTCTGGCTTACTAGGCCTAACGCTGACCTATCGAATTTAACACGTGATCTTACTATTTATTCATTTCAAGTGTTGACAGCCCCGTTGGTGGGTTATTTATAGCTCATTACAGTAAAACCGCTCATCACAATCTCCCCCCCCCCCCCCCCCTACCAATTCACCTAATTACAATTTGTTTTTGTTCATTTGTTTTTTTTTGTTTAACACCGCGTTTTATTTCTTAAATAACATTGGAATCAAAATTTGTTTACATTGATAAATTTTCTTTTTACAATTTACAAGTCTTCAGCTATTAAAAAAAACATTTGCAAAAATTCAGTTTAGTAAATTGTTGCTCTTTAAAATGCAAAACGTGAAGCCAGGTTTTCTGGCCCCTTTCCCCCACCCCATGGATGTGACGTCATTTATGGACGACACCATAGGCCTAAATATCCAACAGTAACCAGCCCAGATAGAGGATTGCTCTCAAATTAAAAGTGGGCCAACACTTGACATAGAACGATAACAGTCAGTTGAAGTCAACTGAAAATTGATTATCACAAGGCAGGTGAAATATGCCTAGAATAAAAGGCGGAGACAAACGTTGTAAAATGTAAAATTAATTAGAACAGTAGCAGCACATGCGGGTAGGTCGCACCGGGTGTCTTGATCCAAGAGGGGGACAGCAGCAGCAAATATATATATTCAGCTTAGTCCATCACCATACAATAGGTTGACAACAGCAGCAAATATATACATTCAGCTTAGTTCATCACCATACAATAGGTTGACAACAGCAGCTAATATATACATTCAGCTTAGTCCATCACCATACAATAGGTTGACAACAGCAGCTAATATATACATTCAGCTTAGTCCATCACCATACAATAGGTTGACAACAGCAGCTAATATATACATTCAGCTTAGTCCATCACCATACAATAGGTTGACAACAGCAGCAAATATATATATATATACATTCAGCTTAGTTCATCACCATACAATAGGTTGACAACAGCAGCAAATATATATATTCAACTTAGTTCATCACCATATAAGAGTCGTTTAAACGATGACAAACAACGACTTTTAAAAAAAACGACCAACAGTGATGAAAAATGACGCTGACAAACAACGATGACAAACAAAACAACGATGACAAACAACGATGACCAAAAAAAAAACAACAATGACCTACAAATACGACAACAATAATGATGACAAAGAAACAACGACGACAAACAACGACGCCAAACAAGATCAGGGGTCAACTGTACTTTCGTTAACTTTTTTTTTACCACCAGCCTAGTTCTGTTCAACCGAGTCATACACCACACAACAAACGAGATCGGTTGTATTTGGATTTTGTGTCCTCATAAAATAAAAACAATAGTGACGTGTGTGTGAATCACGTTGTACACGCATGTGTATCGGAAAAACCTAGCGGGGGACAACAACATTCAAAGTCCATCTATACTAGGCCAACTTAAGGGGATAGGCTCCCGAAAAAAACGGAGAAAAAAACTTTTTAAGTAATACGCCTTTTTCATTTATTTGTGTATGTATAAGTTAGGGTACTTAAGGAAAAATATTTGGATGTACCGGGGACTCTTCTGAAAATATGGTTGCCATGGAAACGGCGGCCATCTTGGAAAAAACTACCTTTTGTGGAGTTCTAAAATTTCCTAAAGTAACATATAAACCACCCATATAATCATTGATCCTTATTGTACTAACACCAATAGAGTCAGCTGGCTAATTTCTGTAACCAAAAAACAGCTAGAAATAATTTTTTCAAATTTTCAAAAAAAATTTGTGGTGAAATTCCATTGAATTTAGCATTATTTTTATTGGAATTTCGTCACACCAAACTTTGAAAATTAAAAAAAAATATTTCTAGAGTGATTTCTGTTACAAAAGCTAGCCAGCTGACTCTATTAGCGTTAGTACAAGAAGGATCAATGGTTATATAGCCGATATTTATGTTAGTTTATGAAATTTTAGAACTCCAGAAAATGATGTTTTTTTCAAGATGGCCGCCGTTGCCATGGCAACCATATTTTCAAAAAAGTCCCTGATGCATGGAAATATTTTCCTTCAAGTACCCTAAGTTGGATATACACAAATGAATCAATAAAAGGTTTTACTTAAGAAGTTGGTTTTTTCTGGAGCCTACCCCCTTAAAGTGGACTTGTTGCTGTAGCGTAACAGCTACGTTATTTTTTTGCGGCATAGACAGCTACATAAATAAAATACTTAAAAAAAACTTTTTAAAAAACCACGTTTTTCTTGTGGACTAAAAAGTAGAAAATAACTATTTACATACATTTGATGACAAAAAACGTGGGTCGGGCAGATGGGTCGGGAAATTTGATGGTGAACGTACCCACGTTTTTTGTCATCAAATGTATGTAAATAGTTATTTTCTACTTTTTAGTCCACAAGAAAAACGTGGTTTTTTAAAAAGTTTTTTTTAAGTATTTTATTTTCTACTTTTTAGTCCACAAGAAAAACGTGGTTTTTTAAAAAGTTTTTTTTAAGTATTTTATTTTCTCCTTTTTAGTCCGTTGCTACACATGAAAAACGTGGTTTTTAAAAAAGTTTTTTATATAGTTTATTTTCTACTTTATCTAATGACTTGATTAAGTATGAATTGACTAAGTGTTTATAAATACACGGACTAAAAAAATCTTGAGCGACCAGGATTCGAACCTGGGTTGTCGCGGCCACAACGAGAAGTACTAACCACTATACGATCACGGCCAGCGCGCTCACATCGATTGGGGCCGAAGTAACTGTGTCGATAAGCCTCCAGTCTTGTCGGTATCTTTAGAAATCATGTCCTCAATTTTATGGTCCTTGGGGCGTAATTAAATTAAGCTAATTACGGTCTCTAATTGCTAGTTTTTATGATTGCATCTGAAATTGTTAGGCGAAAGTAGCATGCATGCCAAATTTCAGGTCTATAGAGCAATCAGAAGTGGGCTAATTTTCGATGTCAATTTTAACAACAAACACACGCGAAGCTGAGTTAATAAAAACGTGTTAAAATGTACATTTAAAAATGTGATATATATTTTTCAGCAAACATATAAACCGTATGTGTAATTTGTATGTAATACACCGATATGCCTCGAAAAGTACTTGTTTTTAATACTGGTTGCATAAAGTAAACAGCATGTTCAATTTTTTTTTTGTATAATTTCGCTTTATTTCAATGTAAATTTCAGACTTGGAGGCCGCATCAAAAGATTTGATTTTGGCAAAAACTCGCATGATTTTGTAGAATTAGGGGTTGAGACGTTCCTTGCCGGTTCCTCCAGCAGTTCCATTGACAGTCTGGCTTTACAAAATAATGTTGTACTGAAGCCTGTGGACGAGGCAAGGTTAGACCAAGAATTGTTGTATAGACGGCTGCTGGGTATTGGGTTGACAAAACAAGTAGTTGAAGGCTGGACTCTTGGGTGATAAGCATCGATAATATTGGGCTATTGAGTGACGATGTAGATAATGGTTTGACATTTGGATGAATAAATTAGATAATGGCTGGACATTTGGATAATATTAGATGATGGACAGAAGTTATAGCACCAGAAGTAGATAATGACAGCTCATTTTGGTGACATAAATAGATGACAGTTGGATGGTGACAAACGTCAATAAAAAATGTAACAAACAATTTCAGTGTTTTAGCTACTGGTGTGCAAATTCAGTTTTAATTTCAACACAGAATAGTCTCAATCCTGAACTCCAAAGGCGACGAGATCAGCACACGCTCCATTCACCGCGGGATGCGCATCTTCAACCAAATGGAGACGCAAGGAGAGCTGATCTACACTCACATAGCCGACTCGAGCGACACGGTGAACTTGTCCTACGCCAACTTCTTCCGGGAGAAGCTGAGGCGACTCCATGGTGGGAATCACAAACAGGCCATCGCCGTTAGAGACGCCTTCACGTGCTTGTATGACGAGAGTAGGCGCGCGCTGGGGGACAGTGCCGGGAACAGCGCCGTCCAGTGGTTCAGTCACAACAACAGCAGGCTGCCTAGAGGGGCCAACAGGGTGAAGATCCCCGACAGTATGTCGAGTCTCGTCCACTGCCTGACCAAGCAATTCAAACCCGACGCCGTTTGTTTCAAGGCAAAAGTCGTCCGCGTGGATTGGTCGATGAAAATGAAAGAATCCACCGTTCAGGTGGAGTGCGCACACGGTCAAACATTTACAGCCAATCATGTCATTGTTGCGGTGCCGCTCGGTGTCTTAAAAAAGCACCACGCGTCTATTTTCAGCCCCGAACTGCCGAAAGAAAAGGTCAAGGTTATAGAAAATGTCGGCTTTGGTTCAGTCTCGAAACTTTTTGTCTTCTTCCACAAATCGAACGTCTTTTCTCCCTTCAGTCTCCTATGGCGAAAAGCCGCACCCACCAGCCCGGAGGGAAGCGTGACCCTCAATATAAGAACTCTAAAAAGATGCATCGTGGAAGTCTCCTCTCTCGGGAGTTATTTAGAGGACGTCAGCGAAACGGAAATAGTTGAAGAGTTGGTCCAAGTTTTGTCTGTTTTTCTACAAAAACCCCTGCCCTATCCAGAACGTTTCATCCGCTCCAACTGGCACCGTGACTCTCTCTTCTACGGCACCCACCCCTACTTGACCACCAGCTGCACGCTGGCAGATTTTCAACTGCTAGCCAAGCCCTTGGTTACGCATCGTAACCTCCCTGCAGTCCTGTTTGCTGGAGACTACACGTACGACAACTATTCAAACCTGCTGGACGCCGCACGACGGAGCGGCTTGCGGGAAGCCGAACGGATTAACCAGTTGTACAACAAATACTTTGGATACGAAAACACGAATCCCTGATTAAATAAGTGGTATTTTGGTATATATATATTTTTTAAATCGCATATAATGAAACTCCTGTAAGGTTGCTGAAATAGTGTCATTAGGTTAGCAGGATTGTAGGACTTTACTCGTTCACAATATAATTGTGTTTGATTTGACCCGAACCCAATGTTTTGACAGACCTTTTTTCTAGAATTCAGAGGCCATTAGACAATCAACCCCCTTTCTCCCCACTAAATCGTTCACTTGTTATAAACACATAAATCCAGCATTGTAGCGCATCTCTACCCGGAAAGATGAACATTTCCGTATGCTTGCAACTTTATTCGAATTTGGGCATATATTATCCCCCCCCCCCTCCACCACACACACACACACACACACACATTCAAACCACGATACCATCTGGTTCAACCAAGAATAAATTATGTCAATCTGTTCATTTGAGAGATATCCACTCGTTACATCATCATTCATATTAAAACTGTGTAAAAGTAAAACCGAAGAGCAAATATGTTGGCTAGTTGTGTCCCCGATTCATCCAAATACAGCAGTCCATGGCGAAAAAATAAAAACAAAGAAAACCAAAATCAGTTTCTAAATATGTCAAATGTGTCTACAGTGGCGTAGGCAGGGGAGGTTGGGGGGTTATAACCCCCCCCCCCAATTCAAAAAGTTTGAGGGGGGTGCAAATCGAAAGTTTAAGGGGGGGGGGGGGTGCAAATAGAAAGTTTGAGCGGGGGGGGGTGCAAATAGAAAGTTTGAGAGGGGGGGGGGGGTGCAAATCGAAAGTTTGAGGGGGGGTGCAAAGAGAAAGTTTGTCCCCGGGTAAAAATTGGAACCCCCCCCCCCCTTGAGACGATCCTGGCTACGCCACTGTGTGTCTATACCTCTACCTGACCTCACATATCACTAAAAAACAAAATGATAGACAACCCCTTTTTACTAAATGTTACATAACTAATGTATGTTAGGATTGCATTTTCTAACGATCATTTCTAATTTTCAGAATTAAACGTTGGTAAACACTGGAGTAGAAATAAAAACATTTTCAGTAAACTCCCGACATTTACATAAGGATAAGTGCGGATGTCATACAAGACTTAATAAGAAAAACTTTATTAACAACCGCCTAAACGAGCTCTTGTAAGATTATGAAAAGTTGCTTTCGGCTATATTTAAGATAATATTCACCTCTCATTTAACGATTTTTTTCCCTGTCCTCATTAAGCATTCTATCTTAGGCTTCTGTAGGCCTACTGGGTATAATATATTCATGAAAAAAGCGTTATTTAAGATGCGCTATCTCAGTCACTCTTTTTAATAGCGTTGATGCCGTCTGTAGTAGATCTTTCCAAGGACGGTCTAGCCTTACGTATGATTTTACATACTGTTAGAAAGCAAAAACTACACACTGGAAAACAGCTAAGTATACAAGCATACAACTTACAACTCAGGATAAGGTGCAAAACAGCTGGTGTATTCAATGTGGGTCAATAACCATTTGCTCCAAGTTATCAACGTATTTATAACTATAGAATGGGGACTCATCGCTTACAACTATACATATACTTTAGCATCGTATTTATGGTTTTAGAAAGGCCAGAGGGGTAGCGACCCTTCCCGGCGCCAAACTTTCAATTTGCATCCCCCCCCCCCATTCAAACTTTCAATTCGCATCCCCCCTCAGCTAAAAAGATATTTTAATTTGTTTTTACAACCCATTTTGGCGCCCCTTAAGGTCGGCGCCAGGGGACATATGTACCCCCTCGCTACGCCTCTGAGAAAGGTAGACAGGTGTTTTAGTATGGGTCAACAACCATATCCTTTAGTTTATCATCAAATATAGGATTGTAAACAAAGAGACTGGTGTACGCAGTACGGGTATGTGGTTGTGTAACAACATGAATTCTTTGTTGTTGTGGGTTAGCTTTCATACCGGAACACGAGCAACAGTGGCAACTTGAAATGACAACTTTATTTACACTATGTACAGATAAATCCGTGGTACATCCATATTTGAAGATCAACTGATATAGGTACAAATAATAATCACGACTCCAAGTCATGGAGACATCTTACATTCACTGCCATCGTTCCAGTCCCAAGTCCTAGCACACAACACCCGTTCACCTTTTGCTCTCTCTTTTATTCACAACTTTCTCTCCCCTTACGTCAATGAGCGATCTCACCCAAAACACGGAAAAACACATGACGATCGCTCAGACAGTCCTTCCGCTAGCCAGGTACTCTTCATTCATGCAAAACACAATATAATAAAGATACATAATAATACAGTCTGTGACAGGTTGTAACAAGAATTGAAACATTCCAATACTAAAACTTAGGAGACGCGCCAGGCTGCGGCATGAAACATCTGTGTTGTTAGTAACGTTTGACATAATTCATTCTTTGCTGTTCAGCATCTACAGCTAATCGCAAGACACGGCGCTAGGCTAGAATGAAGCCAACATTGAATGAGGCAGCCCTTTAGATAGTAGCGAATCATGATGTCGACAATATCACCAACACAGACCTAACGTATTTGATGTCATCAACATAGACCTAACTTTATTGATTTGTAGATGTCATCAACATAGACCTAATTTTATTTGATGATTGATGTCATCAACTTAGACCTAACTTAATTGAAGATGTCATCAACATAGACCTAATTTTATTGATTTGCAGATGTCATCAAAACAGACCTAACTTTATTGATTTGTAGATGTCATCAACATAGACCTAACTTATTTGTAGATGTCATTAACATAGACCTAACTTTATTGATTTGTACTGTAGTTGTAGATGTCATAAACATAGACCTAACTTATTTGTAGATGTCATCAACACAGACCTAACTTTATTGATTTGTACTGTAGTTGTAGATGTCATAAACATAGACCTAACTTATTTGTAGATGTCATCAACACAGACCTAACTTTATTGATTTGTAGATGTCATCAACACAGACCTAACTTTATTGATTTGTACTGTAGTTGTAGATGTCATAAACATAGACCTAACTTATTTGTAGATGTCATCAACATAGACATTTATTAAATAGGCAGAGACCCTATTGTCCATTTAGTTACTGCCATTAGACTGGCTGGGCACTTGGAGACTGACCATTCCTCTACCACTGAGATGTTTTGTGATGGAAGATCAGCCACAGGTCCCAGCATAAATGGGACTAACAAGTCCCAGACAGAAACCAAACCAAACCATTAATAAGAAATTAATGCCATTTTTATTGAGACTGAACTAGCAGTTGATGCTAACATGATTTACCAGTATATTTAGTTAACTAGAGCAGCAGTAACTCATGGTGTCAAGAAACCATCTGATATTAGTTGGGGCAAGTGGAAGCATTTCATTCAATAACTACTTTATTTTTCATCAACAATCTTTATTTACAGCATTATATGGATAGTTAATTTACCACACTTAAAAATTAAATAACAGAAAAATCTCTGTATGTGTATACACTTATATACATACATACAAATACACACATCCACACATAAATATGTATACAAGATTTTATATACATATTTATGTATGGATGATTATATACTTTTTAGATAAATTGGTGTTTGTAATAATATAATTACTAAAATAATATTTCAAATCTATCTATTACAATGTACAATGAATGTTTTTAATAAACACCTGAAAAGCACCTGAATAAAAAAAAATGACTTTCCATGAGAGTATCAAAGACAAGTTGTCAAAGCTCTACTAAAGGATGACCTAGTCAACTCATGTTACCAGAAAGTTATCTTGGCCATACCTTGCTATTATTCCATGAAGTGACAAGCATTTTAGATCGGATAGAAAATGACAAAACTTATATTTTGATCATGTCAAATGGGTTTAATTTTTTTTTTTTTTGTAAATGTAAGACTAAATATAGCATGTGCTTTTAATTATTTGCAACATCTAAAATGCATAAAAAAATATACAAAACACAAAAAGTATAATATGAATACTGTGCACACAGATATAGCATAAACAACTCTATCACAATACTGCATTCACTTCTTTTTTTTAATCAGCTGATAACACTATACAGTATGTGTAGGAATAGTGCAGGCATTTTATTGACACAATAGTATCACAAAATATGAGATTCATTGCAAAAATTTCACTCAGCTTTTTGCTTTGAAAATATAAAAATATACTGGCATAAGAGATGATTTAACCAAGGTATGGCAGCATCTGAAATTAGATGGGGTTCTATAAAAGTTCGGACTATCACACTTTACCAACTGTTTACATGACATGTAAACCTTGTAGATATGTGGAGTCTACAACCCAATACTAACTCACTAATAACATTGTATTGAACATTGAATTACTTGTTTAGCTCAACTTTAAAAAAAAATATTTAAATAGTAAAACACTGACTTTGAATAAAATATTTTTTTGGCCTAAAGGAAATTTGGCTTTCATAAAACTTTACGATGAAGCCTTCACTAAATATTTTATTTTTTTTGTAGGGTATTTACAAATTATAGGCTTGATTTTTTATTTTATCTTTTAATATTTATTTTCTTTATAAAATGAGCCAGCTTTGTGGTAGAGAACAAGTTTCAAACCTCATTTAGGGTAATATAAAATGTTAAAATCACAAGTGTTAATGCCTTGAGTGATCACAGTCTGAAAATAAAATGATTTACAATTGTCTGTCAACATTTAAGTTTAACATATTAAATATAAACAAGCTATGCAAACCTAACTAGTGATAAGAAAATCATGAGAATTTCTGATGACATTATTTAATTCTACTGATAAGGTATGTATTATAATGTATTGAATCTTCAACAGTGGTCTAGCCAAAAACAGAAAAGGTTGGTATATACCTTAAATTTTTGGAAGCTTGGGAGCACTGACCAATGGATTGCTCTGTTCTAAAAGTTTACGTCCCTCTGTCTTGTAGTCAAAGGTGCAGTCATGTGATTCAGCATAACGATGACTGGCACAAAAGTTCTTACCACACCTTCAATATAAAATTTAAGAAAAAAGTTTTACAGTGAACCTGGTTACATAATTCAATACATGAGTTGTTGATAAATAAATTATATTATATTCATGTTTTTAATGGCAAGGATAACACTTGAATAAAATGGATATTCTGGCTTAATTTTCCCTATCCTAGTTATCCAATAGAAACTGCTTGTTGCATAATGCTAATGGACTCTACTGTCAACAAAAAGTTGCCTTGATGCACCAGCACTATAATGCTATGAGCAGATGACATAACATCAAAATGAACTGGTCTGATAACGGTGAACTACGCCCTACTACGCCAAGGTGAACAAGTGGACAGAATTGAGACCAATTACTAGTCTAAAAATGGGAAAGCACTTTTAGGTTATTAATAGCTACTTTTTAAAAAGATTAATATGGGACATAGATAAAAGAAATTTAAATACTAACTGATAGTACTAAAGGCAGATTGATAAAATTTTATTTTGTTATATTTTAATTAGCCAGAGGGAGAGAAATCCTCATATATTTTAGGTGTTATTGAGAGTATGGGACAAATAAATCACTCAGATTTGAAATAGAAAATTAGCTTCATAAATAAACAAGAACTTAAATAAAAAGAAATATAATATTTCAACAATAAAACATTTAGATTTTTAGTCCAAGATTTGTTGAACAACATAATTACCTGCACTGATAACTAGTAGCTAACCCAGTTTTCTTCCCACAAGAACAACATCTTTTTTGTTTCTTTTTGGTTTTCACAGGAGGTAACCGGTGTGTAGGTGAGGTCTTGAGTCTATCACCTACAGATGATGTCATTCTTGCAGACTTCAGAAGAAACATTAATTCATTAGCTTAGTAAAAACAAACTAGGGAGAAAAAAATTGACTGCAAAGATATTTAAGACCATTCAGAAAGAGTACTTGAAATAAGCCTATTTTAACAACCAAAACATGAGAAGAAAAAGAACAGGTCAGCCATTACTTGGTGGCAATAGATACACTGTCATGCAGGTTCCACCCTAATGTGCAGTACCTAACAGCACATCTTTTGAAAGTATAAAATATGACTTTGGAGAAGAATAAACAAAATGGAGAAGTCACAGCTCTGGTGCTCAGAGCCAACACAACTTTTGTAAAAGAAGAGGAATTTTTAAACCAGATACCTGGTTTGAATAGTTTATGAAATAACATGAAATTTTAACTATTTAATGACAGCACTCCAGTATTCTGTTAATTATTAGTGAAAAAAGCATTGCCAGGGACAATTAAGTTGCACATTACAATATTCAAAATTAGAAAATAAACAATTGGGATAATAACTAAAATACAAATACTATTTAATTCACACAAAAATTAAGCAGACTCACCATTAGTCTACTTTCAGGTGTGGAAATTCTTCCAATTTCAGGTATGGAATAATTGTTAAGACGAGATTTACTGGCACTGGTTACAATGCTTCCAATGTGGGAAGAACCAATCTTTTCAATAGATGCCTGACGTAAAATTCCAGACATAGTCCGTGCTTCACGGCTACTAAAACCTTCAAGAGAAAACTCTTTTCGTCTTGTTGTGGTGTTTGGTCTCAAAAAGGAATCAAGGAGTGTATCTTTACGTGAAGAGATAGGTGATCTTTTTAAAGAATCTCCCTCTGAAATAAATCCACCATTTGAGTCACTCACTTTTCTTTTGCCTGGCATTTTATTACTCTCTTCCCCAGTAGTGGATGGACTTTCTTGTAGAGTCTCTAGCAAGGATATGTTGTCACGCCTTCTTGCTGAAGTCAACTGGGAAGAGCTGTCAGGCAAATTGTTCAAGCGCAGCAGTGTCCGTCTGAGGCTGGTAGTGCTAGCACTAGACGGGTAAGACAGGACTGCGGGAATATCAGTGTTTGGGGAAGCCCCAGAAAAGTCATCACTTCTCACAGATTTGGGTCTTTTTGTTTCCACCTGAGAGGCTGCTGATTCTTTCATATCCTGGGTGATGACTGACGGAAGGTTCTTGGATGTGACGGCAAGTAAAGATTCAGCAGCAGCACCCATCTCAAGGACTGAGCAGGCAGCACCCATTTCTGTTAGCTGAGGGTATCCAACAGGGGGAAGACACACCTTTTTATTTAATGGCTTGCTCATACAAGCTGAATGGGTCCTCGCTATACCAGGTAAACGTGTACCAGCAACATTTCTTCCTTTAATGGATGACTTTTCATGCTTTTTCTTTGAAAACACAAAATTTCATAAAGTCAAACAGCAGAACAAGATAGATTTAAGATTTCTGTTTTACAATTTTTAAAATTAGTAAATGTTTCATATCTATATATACTTATATATATATATATATATATATATATATATATATATATATATATATATATATATATATATATATATATATATATATATATATATGAAAGAAAAACAGGTAACCAAGATCATACCTGGTAATGTCTTTACTAACTTTAAAAAAAATTACTGTTAACTTTGCCAATGTACCACCTACTTTGACCCTAAGCAAGGGGAGACTATTCAGCCTATTCTTACTGCTTCAACTAAAAAGACACCCATTTAAAAATACTCTTTACAAATTATTTGTTTGTTAAATAAAACAACTCACCTTTTTATTGAGACTAATCTTTTCCATGTTAACTCTCAACTGATCCATTTTTTCTTTCATTTTACTGTTCTCTTCTGTCTTTTCAAGGTTTAATGATTCTTCTGCCTCTTCTTCTTCATCATCATCATCATCGTCATCATCATCATCACCATGAACATTATACACCGGACTGCTGAAAAAGAAAAATGTAACATATTATTCCCATTTGCATCAGCTATAACCTCAACAACTTGAAAAAACTATTGATTCCTTATGTCTAAGTTTATGAATGTCACTTCTCCCAAATGAGTTGTAATTTGACTATTATTAATCACAAGACTTAATAAAAATGTTTTGTTTTATTTTAAACTATAGAAATCACTACATCACAATACAAGAATGATGGGTTAAAAATATTGCAGAAAACAAAATGTATCTTATATTTTAATCGTATTTCAGGTAAGGCAGCAAACAATGTTAGGATCACACAACTGTCATACCAACATGGGATGTAGGTCAAGTCAACTACTAAAATACTTACTATATTGCTTCAGAAAGAGGAGTAAGGCTACCATCAGGTCTTGTGTCAACAACACGAAAGAAGTTCAACTTATCACCTTCCCTAAACACCAACAAAGTTACATTGCTATTTCCAGGAAGTTTATCCAAAATTTCTTCTCTGTTAGCTTCCATGTACTCAGCCATTTCTCTCAGTGCTGTGTCCTCTACAGGAACTAATTGAGACAAACAGTTCTTTAAAAATGTAGCAGTCACAAGATAAATTTACACAGAAAATTATCTTCTTAAAAACTTACTTCGACGTGTATTTATAGGTCCACCTCTCATTGCTAAAACAAGTTTCAATGTTGCCCCACTTTGTATATTATAGTCTTGAAGACAGAAATCATCCTCAAGCTCTATAGACTGCCAAATCAAATGTTGATGGGAGATAGGAATGCCTTTGAATAAATAAGTAGTCTAGAACCAAGAATGCATGCAGTTGAAAAAAATTACAGCTAACATATGAGAAATCAGTGGTTTTAGTACGTATATTATTTACTTTTAAAAAACAATCATTGTTTCTCAATTCCAATTTCCCTTTTTTGTCTAGGCCTAGCTTATATTTATTTAAAAAACAACAAATGTTTTTAATTCTAGTATACAATAGCTCTCAACAAGTTTAGTGCATCAAATTGTGCAGTTGAATATTTTTTTAGTTAGGTAAGATCAAATAATGACAACATTTTTCCCCAACAGTTTTATGAAATTTTTTTTTAAATTTATCAATCTTCTGGTCAGTAATTAATAATTTTAGCATGGACAATTTTTAAAGCAAAAATACTTTATTTATAAAAAATAGTAATTTTTTAAATTTAAGACTGCAATAAATATTTCAATTACCATGGCTAAAATTACATTAAACTATGTTTATTTATCACAAACAAAATTTGTTTTTAAAAAAGGTGTTAAAAACAATTATGTATTAAGTAATCACTTGTTATATACCTTCAAGCCTTTGTATTTTTGATTTTACTGACATGACAGTCTCAAAAGGAGAAACATGAAGCTCAAAAGCAGTTCCTGTCAATGTTTCTATATACAGCTCCATTTTATTCAGGCCTGCCTGAGACCATTATTGTAGAAAGTATCTCATTCATCTTCCTAAAACAAAACATTGAAACCATAATTATCATTAGTCAACACTTATACCTATTGCTAGGTTAATTAAAGCTATCTAAATAGTACAGCATTTATCTTTTGGTGTAAAATCAAAATAATGATAAATCCACTTAACAAAAACAATGTGAAAATAGTTAATATATGAAAATAATTATTACACTATGGTCAAGAAATTTAACTTACCATTTCTTTATTCATTCATAATTTAGGCTTAATTTCTTTACTGATTCATGTAGGCCGACAAGGATTGATACTGCAGTAGTGCATCAGATATAGGTAAACATTTTTTTCTCTCTCTTTGTGCTGAACAGGCCAATTAGTGGATACCTGTCAATGAATGGGAGAAAAATATTCAAAATTATAATTCTGATAAATGTATATAGTATTACCTTAAGAAAAAAAATACATTTTAAAATCTTGATGGTAATATTCTTACTTTGTCTAAAACCTTTTTAAAGTAAAATTATTCTACCCCATAACTTATATTTTAGCACCTGTTAGCACTTAATTCTCAATATTTGAACTTCAACTATTCTATATTCTATAGGCCTACAATAATAATAATTATAGTAGCATAGCTTATTTATAGAATGCATTTTTTCCCAAGCATATATGCTAATCATTTGCATTTGTTGTTAGGCCTAATTAATTTTATACTCTAGTAGTAGGCCTCCTAGAGCATAATTAGCATATATTATTAATCTTCGAATAAGTAGGCCTTGTTGATGAAATTTATTTTTCAACATTTTTGTTACATTAACTAAGAGTGACAGCATGGCTCAAGTCTACAGAATATCCCTTAGTCCACCCAGCTCTAAAGGGTACCTTGCTCATGTTGAGGAAACTAAAGTAGCTGGACATAGTTATAACCACCTTGTATGCCGAAGGTCATTGTTACAGATAAACTCTATTTCATTTGCTCAATGTGTCTTAGGCACAAACGGGAAAAGATGATGATTTTAAGAACAAAGAGATACATGAAAATTTAACCTTAACTATTTAGCCTAACTATTCAA